GCATGAATGGATTAACGAGATTCCCACTGGTTGATCCTGCCAGTAGTCATATGCTTGTCTCAAAGATTAAGCCATGCATGTGTAAATATGAACTAATTCAGACTATGAAACTGCGAATGGCTCATTAAATCAGTTATAGTTTGTTTGACGGTACCTGCTACTCGGATAACCGTAGTAATTCTAGAGCTAATACTTGCAACAAACCCCGACTTCAGGAAGGTGCGCATTTATTGGATAAAAGGTCAACACTGGCTCTGTCCGTAGTTTTGATGATTCATGATAACTCGATGGATTGCAAAACATTCGTGCCAGCGACGCATCATTCAAATTTCTGCCCTATCAACTTTCGATGGTAGGATTAAGGCCAACCATGGTGGTGACGGGTGATGGAGAATTATCCTTCCTAGATCAAATCTAGGATGAAACCTTGGTGTGGACGGTGGATAGTTCCATTGAAATGAGCCATAAGCTTGATTCCCCATATATGATAGCCTAGATCGAGGTGACTGGATATGGGTTTAGGGGAGGCATAGTTGGAGGCGTGTGGATAACCACGAAAACCCAACACAAAAGAGCTCACTCACTATGATATGATCCCAAATGGTCAACTATACACGCTTAAATTACTTGAAGAAGAAGCTATCGAAGTTGGGAAGAAGAAGGGAAGAATTTAGCTAAGTCAAAATCCGTGTTCAGGGTACCTACTTGGAAGCATGCATCTCACAAATGGCTCAATGACAATTGGACATCAAGGTCTTGTTTTACAGATAACGTTTCCATCTTTCCAATGGTATGCTTTTTGGATCCAGATAATGTCATTAAGGTTGTTTTCAAAGGCCTCAAATTTGCTACCTCAAAACTGGAAAACTTCCAGAAAATGGGCAAGTCTGGAAACTGTTTTGCGAAGCCTACTTTGGAGCTCAATTCAATGAGCATGGATGGCAGGAAGTTAGTACGAAAAACTGTTTTTGGAGTCAAAAGGCTTCCACAACATGAAACTAGGTATGTTTGTGAACAAAGAGAAGGAATTGGATGAAGAATTGGAGTTCTGGAAGGCCTCGAACGAATGGCAATAAGTTAGTACGAAAACTGTTTTTGGACAGTTTGCTTGTGCTTGAAGAAAGGGAGTTTGTGGCCGAGTTTTACACTGTTTTTAGAGTTTGTCTTTACCATAATTTTTTCCTAGTTCTATTAGGTTTGTATTAGGTTTTTCTTGTCTTTAAATAGCTTTCAATTTCACGTGTAAATCATCCAAGTTTTAGTTGAATGAAAATTGCTCCTTTGTGAGAATTGTGTTCTTTGAGAGTTCTCAACAATCAAACCCTTGAGTTAGTCGTGTGAGGAATTCCATTTCTAATTCGAGAACCCTTGTCAATCTTTTCAGTGAGGATTCCAGAATCGGTTTACGAGTTTTCTTATCAATCAAGTAAACACCTTGATTGTGGCGGAATTCTACCTATCCATCACTTATCGTTCGAGTGTTCTTAGCTGTGTATTCTGATTAAAAACAAAGCACCCCCTGGTTCTTTATCACACCACATTCGATTACCTTAACTATCTATATATGAATAGTGACCCTAAACTAGGGGGAGAGATAGTTCCCTGAAGTATTTGCGTTTAGCTTTGATCAATCTTTAGACTAGTGTTTCCTCATATCCTCCACTCAAAACCTTAAAAATTGATTAACTAATTAACAACTAGGTTGGAAGTATGCTAGGGTACTAGGACCCGAGGAGAATACGACCTTCATTACCACTATAAGGCAATGCCATTCTAGGTGAAACTTGGGCTAGGATGGGATAGTTGTTGATACGTGCTAACCTCTAACAATAACTTGCAAGGATTTAAGTGATCAGTGTTTCAACTCTCCCACACTGAGGCGTTTGCTTGTCCCCAAGAAAACCTACTCAAATTAGTACAACTTGATAGAAAATGCAATGGTATGCACTATAGTTCATCGCTAGCACTCTGAAAGTCAATCTGACACAAGAAACTTCACTTCCACCTCAATGTGACAGCACAAACTCGGATGAGGACCTTGCCGACCAAAGAGGTCTAGACACTCCATATGTGCATTGGAGGACTCTCAAGAAAACGTGTCAATTCTAGTGGAATTCATGGTGGTGCGCCTACTTTTTAAAAGTGGACTCAAACTCTCTGGACTCAACTTAACTTTTCCAAACATGGCACCACATTTTCGTTTTTGCGAACAAGGTTCTCGTCCTCATGTCTCAGAGAAAAAATTACATTGAATTCTCTATCTCAGCTTTATGTGGGAAAAGTGATGGCTGAGAGGATGGAATGAGGTAGTATGGTGAAGCGTTCGGACGTGAGTCTTGATATCTCAAGCACCGATTCTCAGCCTACACTCCCGTCTCAATGAAAGGAGGGTTGTCACACATGTGAGGTACAAACGTGAGTCGAGATCTCCCGACTTGTACAGAGGGACACTATCTCCTCTCAGACAAGTCATGTGAGGAGGAGAGGTGTTTGGTGGAAGAAAAGTACAAAATGATGATGGTCCCCAACACATCCTCAATTGCCACTCTGGACCAAGAGAAAAGCCCTTTGACGGCTTAAATCAAACAATATGTCAGATTGCCTCTCACGTGAGAACACTCAATTCTCAAAACATTTTAAAACGGCGCATCTTTTTGAAAAACTTTTCAGAGTCCAAAATTGGGGAGCGTCCTAGACATATGTCTTAACCTCAATGGTAAATAGTATCAATACAACCAAGAGGAAATGGAAATAAAAGCCCACATGCACCAACAAGCCTCATAGTCCTACACTACTACTTAAATGCATACCATCCCAATGACTCGCTATGACACAACTCCTAACAATGGCCAAGTGTAACCAATGGAAGGGACTGCAGTATAGTGGTTCAAGTAATAAATATCGAATCCACGGGTCTCTAGAGTTACTATTACTCAGCTTCAGTTCATTATTTAGCAAACCAGATTAATAAGGAAGAACTAAAACTACTCTAGAAACTACAGTTAAAGTTAATCTAATTACAGGTAGGGAACTCACTTAGGTATGATTCCCCCTAGCCAGATTAACGATTGATGATTTCTAACTTGTTTCACTTTCATTCACAATGCGGAGAATCCTTGACTAGACCTTGAGTCTCGACTAAAGGAACAAGGCCCTCTTGAGTCAATTGCCTAGAGGGACGTATCCTTCTCTAGAACAATCGATCAAGGCGTTCTGAACTAGACTCCCTCTATCGAAAGAGGTTCTCAATCTATACAAAGAAGCCAATCAACCCTCGACTAAAGCAATCGATCCACTACTATCAATCTATGGTGCTCTATTGACCTAATCAGGTATTCGCTCTCATAGGATCAAAGCAGAATCAATAATCTCGACTAAAGCAGAATTGAATCATGAAAACATGCATAGATTAAATATGAACTCAAGGTTATCAAGTAGGAGTACTCATACAATCATCCAATCAAACAAACATAGCTAGGGTTCCTCAAAACCTTAGTGAAGGGAAGTTACTCCATAGAGAAGAGAGAGACTGCAGTAAGAATCTTCAGATGATCAGTCTTCAAGTCCGGGCTTGTTCTTCGAGTTTCCAAGGCGAAGAAATCCTCCAATTCCACTCTTAGAATGCCCTCAAATCGCCCTCTCTCTCTTTGGTTCGTCCCATGGGTGTTTGGGATCCAAAACCCAGCTCCCCCTTTCCTTTGGCATCAATCTGCCTAAAAAAACCCAATTCTGGGCAAAACACGGTCGAGAACACGGCCGTGTTTTGCTTTTGCCCGCCCGTGTTTTGCCCCCAGCAGCCCTCGTCGGCCAAAACACGGTCGTGCCTAAATATGGACACGGCCGTGTTTTGATTTAGGCGCGCCCGTGTTTTTACTGCCGAACTTGTTCCCCTATATTCAATGCATCGTTTCTCCCTCGTCCGGACTCCGAATCAGTCGTTGTTTGATCCCAGACGCTCGTAGTCTCGTCCTCTTTATTTTCTTGACAAGCTTGAATGATTCTTTGTCCATAAAGTGAGGTAGAAATCAATTCTTCTTCAGGTCATGCCCAAGTTTCTTCTCCCTAATCGCCAATTGATCTCTGATTGACTTGAAACTTGCGCCTATGCTTCACTTTATGTGCTAGGACCTGAAATGTGACAAAACACAACCTAGCGTAAAATAGGCCAAAGACGCGACAATTAAAGCTCAAACGATCAAGAAACAAAGGGGAAAACATGTGCAAATATCGAGTCATCACCTAATAATCTAACAATTCAAAGCACAATGAGTCGGTGGATGCATAGGACAAGAAGTCGGTGAAAGAGAAACCTTAATTGAAAGTAGTGAATTGATTGTTTTAGTCAAGAAGACGATTCAATGTTCCGCACTGGAGTTGAAATCCAATAGAGGGAGTTTCGTGTGATAGTGCCTCAGTCAGCTTATCCCGGTGGAGATTAGTCTCCCGCCGGGTATTCGAATAAAAAGGGTATGTAATTTTTTAGTTGAGACTCCAGGCTTGTCAAGAACTTTCCATAGTATATATGTCAATTGAAATGAATGTAGGATTAAAACGGGAATTACCTGGGTGACCTTTCTCATACTTGAAAACTAGAACGTTTACATGCTTTCTATTTGTCTTTACTCGCAATCAACTTCACTCGAATTTCATCGCTAGATAGAATTGTATGGATTAATCCATACACCAAGGACCCGGGTTGATATTTAGAACCTGAACCACTATATTGCATTCCTAGATTACGATTATACTTGGTTGTAGTTTAGTTGTTTTGATAAAAGTGAGTCAAGTTTTTGGCGCCGTGCCGGGTAATGGCTAGGTTATTGAAGAAAAGTGGCTTTCTGTTTCTTTAGCATTTACTTTTCTGCATTCTCTTTCTTCCACCTATTTGCCCTCACGGGTTGCGTTTTCAGCATGTGTGCAGGTAGTGCATAATTCGTAGCCAGTCGGGAGAGCTACTTCCTTTAGACCACGAACTCGAACGGACTCTTCGCTTGTCCAAGAAAACACTAAAGGACCGAATGGTTGTGGAGGAGCCCAGGCTATCATTGCAAAAAGATCAGAGAGCGAAAAAGAAGAGATGGGGGATACTATTAAACAATTGGGGGATCCGAATAGCGCTTAGCCATAGCCAGCAGAGCGGACTATGGGGTACTACTTGACCCCTAAGACCGAGGATCTTAGGTCTAGCATCCAGCACCCGCAAGTTGCTGCCAACAACTTCGAGTTGAAGACCTCGGTCATTCAGATGTTGAAGAGTTCTTTGGACTACAATGGGGTCGTCAAGCGAGCATGAGCAAATCTGCAGCGAATCCCCGAGCTAATCCATGGAATTAAAATTATGGGTTATCTCAAGAAGCAATCCAGCTCTACTACTTCCCCTCTCCCTAGATGGACTAGTCGAGACGTGGCTGGGTAATCGTGCACCAGGGTCAGTCCCCTCATGGAATGATTTGGTGAACAAATTCCTGAATCGCTACCATCCTCCATCCAAGACAACAGATCTGCAAAAGCAAATCATCCATTTTGCACAAGAGGATGATGAAACCCTTCGAGATGTATGGGAGAAATACTCTTGTCTCTTCTTTAAGTCCCAATCACGGGTTCAACAATCCCTTCAAAATGAGCAATTTCTATGGGAGTGTCTTTTTCAAAGACCGATAGCAGATTGAATTGATGTGCAACGGGAATATGCAGACCAAAACTCCTCCAAAAATTAATCAATTGTTCGAGGATCTGGCAGAGAAGGGCTATGACAGGGGAGCTACAAAGAGAACTCGGAAAGTTCAAGGTCATGATGTGCATGTTGTGGAAACTCAATCATCTTCCCTGGTGGACGTCATTTCTAAGTTGGTTACGGCGATCGATCGTAACAGAATGGTTATCGACACAGGCCAGCCTCACGTGATGTACTGCCAGTGGTGCAAGAGCACGAATCACATGGCGGAGGACTGCTAGACTATGAGGGAGTCTAAAACACCTCAGGAGGAGCTGAATTTCATCAGCAATGTCAGACACATAGACCCCTACAGTAACACTTACAATGACGTGTGACGCCAGCAACCGAACTTCTCATCGGGTGGCAATAGCAATACTAAGCCACCAGGATATCAGGCTCCTGTGAGTGGTTATCAAAACCATAGATGACAGTTCCTTCCAAACAGGGGCAAACCTTCCCACTGCAGCAACATCGGTATTTCCAGCAATTGGGTGTACCTTCATCGACCCCAGCCCAGCATAGTCTGAGCTAAGAGATATAGAGAGCACTCTTGCCAAAGAAACCAGCAGGCACTTCTAAAGGGCATGGACACCAAAATCGGGCAACTCACTGACGCTCTCACCTCCCAACCGAATGGCACACTTCCAGGGCATCCATTGCCCATCCCCTGAAAAAGAGCCACTGATGCGCCAAAACACAACACCAATCTGCGACCAAGTGTAATCGCAGACCGGGAATGCAGTAACAGGCAAGTTATATTATCAACCCGGGCTCTAGATCTACTGCTTACTCAGTGATTCTCTGTTATCTAGCCAACTAGAGTAAGTGATTGTTGTTTAAACTAAAAGCAGAAATGAAGCAGGAAATTATTCGGTTTTCTTAAGCAGGAAAGAGTCACTCGGGAATGAATCCCCCTAGCTCTTTAGTTAGGTTTCAATTGCAATTTACCCTGGGTTGATTTACTGTTGATTAGACTGCGGAAGATCCGACAGTAGCTTGGAATCTCTTAAGCTGACCAAGCCCTCTCAGTCTAACTACCCGGCAGACGACTAGTCTTCACCGGGATAGAAAGCTGAGGCTATGAACACAGAACTCCACTACTGGCGCCAAGAACACCAGTACAAAGCAGTAAACTGGCTAACTCTCGTATAGCCAACCTCCTACTATCGAATGAAGAGGCTCTAACAACCTAATCAGATTCTATCTATCTCAGGTTGAAGCAGAAATTGAGACAAGCTGATCAGACTCAAATCAATTCATGAAACATGCATCATTCGATTAAAATCAAACAGTAGTATCATCCCAAGTCATTACAATCAATCCCTAACACATAGAACTAGGGTTCTTCATCCCCAAGTGAGAGAAGGGTTCTACTCCATAGAGAGAGAAGAGAAAACAAGAATCGGATTAGTCATACTCATAACGATGAGGATAATCTGCTCCGGGGCGATGATTTTCACTCCTATGACGATCTCCAGGCTCGATTCGATGAAATCCAGCTCTAAGACAGCTTCTAGGATGTGTTCTTCGTACTTTCTCTCTCTAGGGCTCTGTTTTTGCTCTGAAAACACTCTTCTCTCACTTCTGGCTCGGATTAGGCTTTAAAACCGGGTTTTCCCGAGTTGCACGGCCAGGGTGCACGGCCGTGCACCTCACCATTCTGGCCGTGCACCATGAAACGCAGCGTATCCCTTAATTGAACTCAGGCTTCTTGCACGGCCAGGTGCACGGCCGTGCAATCCTCAGGGCCTGCCCGTGCAGCTCCTCGGCATGAGGCGCACGGCCAGCTTGCAACCGTGCACGGCCGTGCAGCCTCCCTGGTCTGCCCGTGCAGCTCCCTGAAAACCTCGCCATTCGTCCGTTCTTCGTCCAATCGACCCCAGACTCGCTCCTAAGCCTTCATTCACGTACTAGGACCTGAAATATCACAAACAAGCACAACCTAGCGTGAAATCGGCCTAAAACACGAGAATCAACACCTCAAACGGTGTAAGAACGGGGGTAAAAACATGTGTAAATGACGGTCTATCAAACTCCCCCACACTTAACCGTTTGCTTGTCCCCAAGCAAAACAAGTCAGACACTAGGTAAGCCTACACATTTCAATCAACCAACATTGGGGACAAGTCATAAAGGCACAGAACACGTGAATCGCACTGGTTTTCAAACATCAATACATGCACAACCTCAACAACAACCTGGACAACCACCACAAAGGACGTTCGAGTGCAGCAAATCGAGTAAAGGAAGAGTCTCCCTTCTGTTCACTGGCCAACCTAGACTTGATTCAACCACTTACTCAAAACAGTCAACTCATACATCTAACTCAAGACATCAGAATAGAGACCGAGCAATCTAGGTCCTCACCGGGGTACAAGAGCATATAGAAAATGAAAATGAATCACTCACTCTCGACCAGTGGGGTCAGGACAATTTGATGCGAAAGATGCGCATGCTATTTCTCTCAATCCCTATCATCTCTTCACCATGATGGCAGCCTCTAAATGCTAGAGTTCACATATGGGGTGTCATCACTAACTAATCAGGAGGTCTTAGACACAGGTTCAAATGACTGGATAGGGTCTTGGACATGGGGAAAAGGCCTTTTAGGTGGTGGAAGTATTCATAGCAAAAGGTTCCACATTTTCCAAACACACAATCACAGTCAAACAAACCGGTATTTTCTTTCTGCTATCCTGCATTACTCAATATCTTAAGAGCACAAGAGCGAAGGAGGCATAAACATCAGCATTTCCAAGCCAGACTGCTAAGAAACACTACTTACTGGGCATTATTCAGATTTTTAGTAGTGGCTCTCTTTTGCTTCCAATTTTTCTTTGTTTTTCTTTTATTTTTCTTTTCATTTCTTAAGAGAGCCACCACTCCTGCACATATTTCAAACATCCGCCCAACTTTTAAGCACTACCTCCAACACTCACATAGACTTTAGCAGAAACAGCAGAGAATATATAAAAACCACTCTGTGGAACCTTCTAAAAGATGCAACAAGGGTGATTTCTTTTCATTATAGACCAAAAGAAAGGATAACACACGGCTCAAAGGGGCTGACTAGGGGATATGACACATCAGGACAGTCAGTTTTGGGCGTGGGCTAATCCTATGCCCCCATCATCTCAGCTAGTGACAACGTGAATGCTACACATCATGGAAGAGGGATCTATCGCACAAGAAAGAAACGAGCAGGCTCAAATCTCACATGGCTACCTATATGCTCTATCTCATATTCTGCTACCCTGAACTAGATGCATAAACGACTGTTAAGAACAAGTAATCAGATCAAGTCAGATCAAGTCACAGTTGGCAAGCAAACAGTTGAAAAACTGAACCCCTACATCGTTCTACTGCACATCTCAGTCCTCATCATAGGTTGTCCTAGTCGCAAACAAGTTGTCATGCATTAATCCGAAAACCAATCAATTCATCCATCAAAACACAGTGCCAATATGATCAAACAGCAGTACTTGGAGCCCTCAAATCGTAAGATTCGGACAGCGGACTAGGCTCCAAGCACCATCATACATATTCCAACCGATACAAAGCATCCCCCCACACTTAAGCACGACATTGCCCTCAATGGAGTAGAGGGAAAGATAAGGGGAACGATGTTACCGGGTAAGAACACTGCTGGGGGACTGGAAGTGGACCAGTCGGCGAGAAACGAACGGGAGAGTGGACAATGCTGCACAAATCGAACATCAGAAACACACTAGCACACTGTGCGTTAGGGATAAGTGTTAGCCCAGACGGCTACATCAAACCACAAAGGAAAAACCAAAAACAAAAACAAACGACACTAAGTTCAAGCTCCGCACACATGGAGCAAACACACAAAAGTCTAAAATGAAAAAGAAAACACACTGAGACGGGCAACGAGTACAGCCTACTCGTCGCCAAGATCGTCGAGGTCGATGTCGGTCATGAACGCATCATCATCAGCAGCGCCAGCAGTTCCATCATCACCGTCAGCTGAAGCAGCCCCGGCCGCACGGGCAGGCGCGCACGGCCGTGCATGGCGTCGCTTTTGGTCGTGCACTCCTGGCCGAGAGCTCGCACGGCCAGGCCAGGCATAGCGCACGGCCGTGCAAGACAATGCCATGCCCGTGCAAAGCGCACGGCCAAGCCAGGCTGAGCGCACGGCCGTGCATTATGCACTTTTGGCCGTGCGCTTGTGGCCGAGAGCTCGCACGGCCAGGGGGGGTACCCGCACGGCCGTGCAAGTCTAGGTTCTGGCCGTGCGACTTGCTGGGGTCCCGAAATCAACCTCGGTGGGGTTGCCTCCCCACAAGCGCTTCTTTACCGTCTTTTAGCTGGACGCCAGTATGGATGCTCAGGGAAGTGTAGGATCAGGTGCCTTCAAGAGCGGATCCACATCGCTCTTGAGGTACAGCTTCAAATGGTGGCCATGCACGCGACGAATGTGGCCACCTGCATTCGCCAGCTCAACTTGGCCATCCGGTAGGATGCAAGCGAGTGAATACTCGGATGGCCAAGGAGGGGGCGGGACCAGCTCATAGTGGTCTCCGGCTTCCTTTCGAGCAGGCTTAGCTGCCTGCAGTTTCGGCCGCCACTCCTCCTTGATCTGTTCTTTGGGTGACGGAGTGGTCCGGAGTGGCGGCGAAGGTGTGGGAGGCGGTTCCTGCAAAATGGGCAGCACAGAAGGATACACGACAGACTCGTGCTCCTGGTGAGATACAGCATGAAGAGGTGACGAAGCAGGTATAGTATCAGCAACAGAAAACGTTATTCGCTCCTCGCCATCCCTCAAAACTAAGGTCCCATCATGCACATCTATGAGAGCCTTGGCGGTGGCCAGGAAAGGCCTTCCCAGTATAAGAGGCACTTCTGTGTCCTCACTGATGTCCAAGATAACAAAATCCACGGGATATGTGAATTTGCCAACCTTAACCAGAAGGTCTTCCACTATACCCCTAGGATGCACTACAGATCTGTCAGCTAATTGAAGGGTCATCCTAGTAGCACGGGGTTCACCTAGGCCTAGTTTCATGAACAATTTATATGGAATAACATTGATACTAGCACCTAAATCCGCCAAGGACTTCTCTACATGCAATTTATCAATAGAGCACGGGATAGTAAAACTACCTGGGTCCTTCTTCTTCTGCGGAAGCTTGTTTTGCAGAATAGCCGAGCATTCCTCGCTGAGCTCTACCGTGGCCAGCTCACTCAGCTTCTGCTTCTTTGAGAGAAGCTCTTTCAGAAACTTCGCATACTTTGGCATTTGCGATAGTGCCTCCAGGAAGGGCACTTGGACATTCAGCTTCTTAAGCATGGCCATGAAGTTCTCGAACTCTGCCTCCAGCCTGTCTTTGTGCAACCGAGTAGGGAAAGGGAGTTTAGGGACATACTCCTTCACTACTGGTTGCGGTTTAGGTGCAGGCACCTCAACTTCCTTCTCTACTTCCTGTTCAACCGCTGGAGCCGCTAAGACAGGGCTTTCTTTCTCCGGTTCCCGAGCAGGGGGATCAACAGTCATCTTGCCACTCCTGGTCATGATGGCATTGCAGCGCTCATTCGGGGTCGGCGGGTGAGGGATGGTCTGCCCTGGTAGAGTACCAGGAGCCCTTTGAGCCACTGCCTGGGCCACGCTCCCCAGCTGGGTCTGGATATCCTGCAAAACAGCCCGTGTATTCCTCTGACCAGCTTCCAGAGCCAGGAGTTGACCCGAGGCCTTCTCCATGAACTGCTCAAAGGTGTTGAATTTCTGAGCACTAACACTGGCAAGAGAACCCACCAAGTCCCGCAGTTCAGCCATCTGATCATTCTGCACTGGGGCAGCAGGGGCTGCACCTGGCTGCTGGAATTGCCCCTGTCTGGGCTGATATGGTGGCCT